AGATGATAAAGGATTCAGAAAGTTTATTTATGCATGTCCATATGACAGAGAATATGAATGTTCTTTTTGTTTTCATATTATAATTTATATTTAATTGTGTTGTGGTTTGCAGTGTTTTGTGTTGTTTCACTTTAAATTTGTAAAAGGAAAATCTGAAAATTTAAATAGTTAAAAGTTGAAATGTGACTAGTTGGTTTTTGTATTATATGATTTATTTATTACATTTTATGTGGAGTAAATAAAAGTATATTTACGGTGGCCCCTGCAGACAAAGCCCCTACGTACAAACCTCAAAACACGTAAAAACTCCAAAACATGTACAAAACACAACAGAAGTGCTCCAGGATGCTGGGCGCAGTGTTGAGCTTTTGTTACCTAGTGGCTACACAAGCCAGCAAGTAACAACGACCGGATTTGGTGTGTGGTAGTAACAGGTAAATGAACTTTTTTTTTTTAATTATTTGAATATATATGAGTGCTTGTGTATAAATACACAAACAATACACATACCGGTATGCTTTCAATTAGTGATCTAGGTAGCTCTGTTTTGGAAGTTCAGATCATGCTAGAAATGTGTTTTGGAGTTTGTACGTGCTTTGGAATTTGTACGTGTTTTCTCTCTAGGGGCCAACGCATATATTTATATATAAACATATATAAATAAACCCACTTACATTAGTAATTCCTTTTGTGATAATTTTATATTATTGTTAATAATAAATTAATTAAAACAACAAAACAACCTGAAGAGCCGGTTCGGAGCCGAAAGAGCCGACTCTTTTTAGTGAGCCGAACCGAAAGAGTCGGTTCTCTAAAAAAGATCCGGAAATCCCATCACTAGTAAATATTCACACTTAAACAATCTTGGATCACTTACTTCAGTGGGTTTGTTTTAAGGATTCTATTTTTTTTGTTGACATTTTCAATCAGACCAGTTTTCTCCTAAAGTTCTAGCTATTATTATCATAACCCTAATTTATAATTGGGGTTGGATGATTGAAATAGTCCAACCACTTGGGGTCAGGGGATTAGCCTAATTGGCAGAACTGCCATTTATGGCATTCCCTGCCAATCAAGCTGCATGGCAAGTAGGCACTAAAATCACTGAAACTTCATGCCACGCCAAGCTCGTATAGTTTGTTTTGGACAGTTTGGCGGCTTCTGGTCTGTCTTGCAAAAAGGAGCAGATACACGTACGCCTGCTGTGTTGATGCTCTCCTTTATTCCTGTTCAGTTCTCCCTGTGTAGTGGCACATATCCTGGTATCAGCTCCATATACTTGAGACTCTGCTGGAAGACAAAGTAAACCTTCTTG